TATTACAATGATTTTATTCACACAACTTTACTTTGCACTTTACTTTACACGACGGTTTCAATTCGCGATCTGATTCACAACTGACTCACTGCCTTTCCATTCCCTCTATTTATATGAGCCCTGCCTGTCGCTACAGAAGTTTCTAGACGATCTGGTAACACCTAGATCACGAACAATCTACCAATGCAACAAACACATTGAGTAACAATAACAACAACAAACTTGAGTAAACAAACTTACAATAACAACAACACATATACAGGCGAGGGAATAACAAAGAAAGAGGAATAACAACAACACATATACAGGCGAGGGAATAACAAAGAAAGAGGAATGACGTTTAACAAGAATTGTACGACAATAACAAAATAGAAAATGAAAGAGGAAATGGAAGGATGTAGAAAAATCTATACAGTGGTTGTTGTTGTGAAGTTATTCAAATAAACTGCGTAGTAGAAATTTACGTTACAATTCAAATTCTTAAATTAACGGAATTCATCTAAATTAACTTAAATCTAAAGTTATATTCGTAACAGTACTAAAACTGTATTACACCGGAACGGTTAGCTGTAGAACTCTGAAATTTGGTATGCAGCTTTGTCAATAATACAGGAAGGGGAAACATTTTTGGAATTTAGTACTAAAAGGTACAACAAATACTAAATAATATATTTAAATGGAACCTCTGAAAATTGGTATGAAAAAAGGTCCAAAAACGGTATTAGTCCGGAACTGTTGGAAGCAGAATTATGAAATTTGGTATGCAGCTTTTTCAATGATAAGCCAAGGGGAATGTGTGAACAAATTTTGGAAATAAGTACTAAAGGTACTAAAAAGTACTAAATATTATATTACAATGAAACATCTGAAACATCTGAAACTTGATATGTAACTTAAGCTGTTACAATATATATATATAACCGATAGATATAGGAATATGAAACATTTTATATAGCTCTAACTATTATTAATAGAATGTTATGCATAATTTGTTATACACAAATGAATGGTAAAAAATATACTAAATATTTGTACTAAGAATGGGGAACTTTCGTTTAAGTTTTATAAAATGGGGTTTAAAAAATATGGAAAGTACTAAATATTGTACATGGGTATTGAGCGATTAGAAGTAGTAGAATATGGAATTTATGTATGTAGCTTCTAAAATATAAGTATAAGTAGCTTCTAAAATATAAGTATAATTAAATTTGGAATTTATGTATGTAGCTTCTAAAATATAAGTATAATTACTCCCAATGTCATCAACAAGTTAATTGGAAGGAAATTGGCATTGCATAATCTATATTTAAAGAGTCTATATACATATAATTGCTTTAATTGCTTTATTGATTGAATGTTCATCAACGCTCATTATAAACAAAATGGAATACTCCACAAACGTTTTAAAATTGTACTAAAAGGTACGAAAAAGTACTAAATATTCTGTACGATAGAAGGGATAAGAATATAAACTGTTATTATATACATATCTGAAACTAAGACAGTAGACATTTCCACATAAATATTTTCAGAAATATGTTCTAAAAGGTACTAAAAAGTACAACACATTGTATACTGCGGCAAGAGTGCAGATAAAATTCAGGAAATTGTTATAAAGTTTTTTCTATGAAAAACAATGCTTTCCGCATTTTGTATGTATATTTAGTTATGAAAAATTAAATATAGTACGTAATTTCATTTTGGAAATTTGTTCTAAAAAGTACTAAATATAGTATAAAGCGGAAAGTGTAACATGTTTCATGCAAATATTTTTGAAAATTTACACTACATATTACTGACCGGTTTCCAACACCTCATTCGCATGGTATACTGCAGTAAATGATTTTTTGAATTGTGGTTTAAACTTTCATATACAAATAACTGAAACTATGCAAACAAGTACTAATTTATTTCTACTTTTAAATACAAATGTTTCTAAAACGTCTACCATAACAGTACTGATATTTATCTGCAATAATGTTTCCAACACCTCTGAAAATATATTATACTGCCTCGACTTTCGATATAATAAATAGTGGGTAGGATATCTATGAAGAGGATATACCGGCAATTCTTTCCAGTGAGGATTTTGAAACACCCAACGTACAAGAAATACTAAATTTCTGCAACTTTTAATGGAAATCTGCTCTGTAAAAGCAGAGCCTTATTAAAGTCATTATGTCGATGCAATTATAAAAAATTATGTACTATGCAAAAGATTATTTAACAAGTTAATACAGGGCACACAAGTACTAAAACGTAGTACGTATATTACCATTAGTTATAAGTTTATTTCGGAAAATATAAAAATTAGTAGGTTGTACCGAATTAAGTAGGATTCGAGTGTCATAGCTTCTTAACCATATGCTTGACCTGAATTTTCTTGGTTTGCTGAGGAGGAAGTTTTTTTATTCGTTTTATATAAGGTATATGTTTAATTAAAGATGTTTTGGATATTATGTTGATCAAATATATGATATTGACGCTTTTTGTAGGATGTACCAGAAGAGAAGGCAGACGGGTCCCACCTTCGGACTTGATTAGGCTTGGTAAAGATAATAGGTTGTGCAAAATTTGATTCAAATCCGGCATACCATTCGCTTAATATTAGATTTATTAATATTGACCATCCGTTTGAGACCAAATCCGGACCAAATCCGTTTGAGAAAATTTGGAGTCGATCTACACATGTCCGTTCGTCGGTCTGTCCGGCTGGTGCGCACGATAATTCTCGAAGGAAATAATCGATTCCAACCAAACTTTGCACATCTTAATATTTCTTCCAAACTTAGTTAAAGTTCCAAAATGAGGAATATCGGTTAACTCCTTCTGGTACCTCCCTTACAAAATGGTCACAACTTTTATAATTTTATCCGACATGAACCAAACTTTGTACAACCTATTATCTTTACCAAGCGTAGATGAAGTCCGAAGATCGGACCCATTCTGGTACCTCCCCCACAAACGGCCAACATTTTCAATATTAATAAATCTCATATTAGACCAAAGTAATGTCCGATTTGAACCCACCTTTACAAAATATATTATCTTTACAACGCCTAGACCAAGTTCTCCCACAGAAAGAGTCAGTATTTTATAAACTTGTAAATTTTATTAAATTTGATGAACATTAAATCTGAAACCTCTTTGATAAAGACATACTTCTTATGAACTGGTGCGTTGTCCTGCTAAAAAACGAGTCCTTGATTGTTGCTGCTTTCCCAAAATGGCAATAACTTGTCTTCCAAGACTTGAACGTACTCCATTGAATTCATGCGACAACATGGAAATGTCAAAAAAAAAAACAGTCCGTGGCTATAAAATGCTCCCAAGGCCATTAAGGAACCGCCACTGAAATGTCGTATTAAGAAATAACGATATTTAGGTAACCGTCACCTTGGGAGCATTTTATAGCCACGGAATGCTTTATTTCAATGGAGTACGTTCAAGTCTTGGAAGACAAATTATTGCCATTTTGGGAAAGCGGCAACAATCAAGGACTCGTTTTTTAGCAGGACAACGCACCAGTTCATAAAAATCGCCGTACTCAAGTATGGTTAAAATTAAAAAATATTAAAATTTCCGACCAGAATCCGATCGAGAACATGTGTGGAATCTTGACTCGTCGTGTCTATGCAGAAAACCTCCAATACCAAACATTATTTTATTTCCAAGAAGTGATTGTCGATTTTGATCAACAGTGTGATGGATAAAATTTTTGAACTTATTCAAAATAATGGGTAGGGCCATTATTTATAAAAGTTATTTTATTTTATTTAAGTTTTTAAAAAAAAAATTTTTCTAATTTTGTAAAAGTGCGTCTATAGTTATGCAACACCAGCAATTTTGAAAGTGCAGAATTTGGCGAAACCATAAAGAATAAATTAATTATTTTTGTTGAATAATATGTGTTTTTGATCGTTTTATTGTGAACAATAACTTAATGGGTCCATTTCATTTGCCAACTAACATACCAATTGAATTAAGGGTGCGTCTATAGTTATGATACGCAGTGTATTTTATATGCAAATTATATTCTCCTCTTTTTTTGCCATACGCAAATGAAAATATCATCGCCAAACATTATTTGTGTAAGAAATGTGTGTGCTTTAAAGATGAGATAATAAAAGAAAACAAAATTCGTTTATATGTGTGTTTTATTATTATTATTAATATGTATATCAATTTATTTAACAAATATATGTATAAATATCAATTTATTTATTTATATGTATAGATATGATTGTATGGACGTGTGTGAATGTGTGTTTATTTAATTGTATAAAAAAATATAATTAATTTGAAACAAAAATGCATCGAAAAGGTACACAATATCGACACACACACCCACGCACGTCACGTTTTTTATGCTAAATATTAATGAGGGGAGATACTAAAGGGTATGAAGGAGGGAAATCGATTTATAAATTAATGTGAAAATGTTACATATTTGAATGCCATATAATAAACATTTTCATTAATAATCACGCACTGACATACACGCACACACCAACAATAGTAGTCTGTTGTGTACGGAGTGCGCATAAGTATATATTTATGTGCGTATGTATGTTTATCAATATAAGTACATATAATCGTGCTTTCTGTATGCTGTATGTCAATCTTGAATCAGTACCGTGTTGAGCAATGCCATCAAATTTCATCCATTTATTCGCGAGCGTTTGAAAAGCCTGCATGCCGGCCAGACGATGTAGGGTATACAGCTAGTCACATGCACGGACTCAGATACCGCATCATTAATGGTCGTTAGCGAAGGTGATTCGTGATTAAGGTACAGCAATTTATATTAACAAAAAAAAAAAAAAAAAAAAAATGAAACAAAATAAAATAATATTGAATTTATAAATAATAGTTATTATGATATGTAAGTATGTATGTCGATATATAAAATAAATATGAATTGTTTTGTGCGGAGTTCGATGGCGACTTTAAGCGACGGCCTTATTCGTACTAATTGTCAGCATTCTGAACACCGGAGATTAACTAATATGCTATAAATCTGAAATAAAGAACCTGGTAAGGAAACGAGTTAGTTGAGCTTAAATGTACACGAATTAATCTATTTTGAGAATTAATAATCAGTTCGAGAGATTCACGCTCACGGCAAGAGTCGGGGATTGAAGCGACCCATGAAGAGAATCATGCCTGTGGGATTGTGGCGGACAAAGTACAGGAAAGGCTTGTCGAACCGAATCCTGGGGGCATCGGGTACTCGGGCTTGTCGCGGCCTCAGCGGCAAGGGCAATTCCAAATATTTAGGATCCAATAGGTCGTCGTAGAAGCCACGTCCCAAGGCAGAATCTTGTACGAGGGAACCGAAATCAATGACGGCTTCCGACGAGTCAAAGTCGTCATCGTCGTGGGCCTCGACGTCCTTATTGCGCTTGCGTAATGGTGGCGCTGGATACATTTCAACATGATGATGATCTGCGATTTTCTCTTCGCCGCATGTGCTGAACGTATTGATTTGAATCATGTCCGATAGGTATATGTCGCGATTGGGGGAACCAGTTAGGCCGCCGAGATCGGCGTAGTCCGACTTGAAGAGTCCTTTGAGACCCATCTTTTGCAAACCAAGTGTGGCATTAACAAAGGATCTGTGAGAAAATCGCGGCAGTTTGACTTCCATGCCAGGACGATCCATAAGTGATGTCAACAAATTGCTCCAGGCATTCTTGGAGATGGCTGTTTCCATCAGTTCTTTCTCGAGGCGGTCTAAATTATCCGATGGCGATATTGTGCTTTGTTGGCCAGGCATTACGTAAATCATACTCACAGTATCCTGTATACGACCAAAAGCAACAACGGTGGCATCCAAATTCGGTTCGAAACCGGCTGTAAAACCACTCTTGAACAGGACAGCGGGAATTGGCACAAGTCGTCGTTGTCGCACCGTTGGATGAACTTGGAAGAATATTTCACCATCCCGATCCTGTGTAGATCCCCGAGAACAGTCAGTTTGGAAGAGATTGGCTGATATGGTTGCCAAGGGGCCATTGACCCAAACACTATTTGTGCGCAGGTATTCTAAAACCTTGCCCATGGTGTGACGCTTCACAAGGAGATTGGTTCGCCGGCGGATAATGTCATTGACCACATGGAAATTTACTTCTTCGACGTGACCGGCGTACAGCTGTTGAGTTTTCTCCTTGAAGAACTGCAATATTTTGCCATTGGCGCGATCACTGAAGACTTCGCGGACAAAGGCCGTTGTGGCAATGTCACTATCCATGGCCCTCTCGACGGAGTCTGTAATATTTTTGAAGACTAAATGTGGATTAAATGTGACCATGTCATCCAACTTCAGTACGTCATTCATCTCGCCTGAAGTGCTACCTCGAGCGCCCAAGAACACCATTGACAGCATGGAGGTCAATGCAAATGGAGATATCACAAGACTTCTGGCCGAACTTATTTTTTCCGAAGTAATTGATTTCCAATAACTGAACGCCAACTCGTTGCAGAGTTTTGCAAATGCTTGAATATCCTCATCTAAGTTGGCCACAGAGGCTTCGAGGCCCTTGGAACCGCTAGGCGAGGGTTCCATTTTGACCGGTGGCCGTGTGGCTTGGGAAGATGCTATCATTAGATTGCTGAGCTGAGGCGGTCTTTGCATGGGACGTTGCTGCGGGGTAACAGCACTGTAGCTGATGACTTTGTTTGGAATATTTTCTTGTGTTTGAGGCTGCAGCTGTGCTTGTACCGGCATAGGTTGTTTGTTGTACAAAGGCTCGACAGAATCCTGATACAAGGCATAGGCGGGTTGCTTATTGAAATAGGAAACTGGTTTTAGGGTATTTAGACGTCGGGTGGTGGTCACAGTAGGTTTTGGTGTTGTAGTAGTACTGGTTGTGGTGGAAATTCTTGTTGTTATTGATGGCAACTTAGGTGGCTGGTATCCCGTTTGATCGTCCTCATCTTCTTCATCGGATCCTTCAAAGCTTTCTCCTTCGTTGTCATTTTGTGTCCCTGGATGCGAGCCGACAGTTGGAATATCATATGAGACGATGGTGTTGATGGGCTTGGGTGGCGCCAACATGGGAACATCTTCAGCACTTGGGTCGGGTTGTTTAACAACACCCTCCTCCACATTAGTTGCAGTGGCAGGTTTGGTTATTTCTTCAGGTGATAAATCGGCAGAAACGTTTGATTCGTCGTTGATCGTGATTTGCGATTCGTTTGAGGGCGATTCATCGTTCTTCACTTCCACATGATTATAGTCCTCGACCTTAAGAGTTGCCGATTCAATTGGTTTCGGTGTTGTTGTTTCTCCCAATTTAACATAGGGATCTCCGTCGATTAGTTCGCCGGTTTCATCCTCTTCGGAAATCATTGCATTTAGTTCTTCTGATGTTTCTTCGCTCATAGGGTAGTTGATAGTGGTGGTATCTTCGTCCTCCTCCTTCTGTCCAATTTTTGTTGTTGTAGGTTCATCCTGGATTTCAGTTGTTGTATCAACTGGAATATCGGTTGTGGTTGTGTCTTCATCCTTTTCCACAGTTGATGAATCCGTCGAGGCCTCTTCAGAGCGGAGGTCGTCCTGGACAGTAGCGTTATCTAAAGATATTTCAGCCATTTCCTTATTGGTATCCTGATTATCTTCCACGGTCGTTGAGGAATCTTGCTCAGACTCGGTAAACATTTCGGTGGCATCTGTAATACTTTCGGGAACTTTAGCTTCCTCTTGTCCTTCGGAGGACTCCACTTTAATAGTGGCCGATTCGGTTCCCACGATTTCTTCATCACTACTTTCTGTAACACTGGTTGTTTCTTCGAATTGGTCATTTGCGGAACTATCTGTGTCGCTTGGCGCAACTGTCACTGTTTCCGGGTCATTGCTCTCCTCTACGTTTCGTTCACTCATGTTTTCATCATTTTCGATGGCGTGCATAGATGACTCTTCAGCTTCGGTAGTTTTGTTTTCGTCGCCGCCCATTTCCCACGATGACTCGGTAGTTTCTTGAGATATGTTATTGACTTGTGTCGTTGTGTCAGTGGCGCTATCAGCTTCAAAGAGAGCCTCCCTATCATCAGAATCCTCCAGCTTTTGTTCTTCCCCATAAGTTGGAGAAAGGGCTGGCAATTGAACTTCTTCGGTGGATTCAGTTTCAGCCAGCGCTAAGGGGGTAGTTGTTGCTTCTTCTGCAGACGTCATGACTGATATGTTATCCTCAGTAGTATCAGCAACTGTTATGGTCTCGGAATTTAGCGGCATTTCTGTGGATTCATTTTTCATCTGATTTGTGGTACCTTCTTCGCTGTGAATTTCGTCTTGACTTGGTGTGATTGTGGTAGATTCTTCCTGGCTAGAAGAAGATTCTTCGTTTGATTCGGTCGTATCCGATATGGGGGTAGTATATTCGAATTGAGCCTCAGTTGTCTTCTCATTATCTCCCTCTACCGTTAACGGTGTTGATGTTTCTTCCTCTTTTTCTGTGATTTTGATTGTGGTGTAACTATTTTCTTCGTTCAAAGAGGAGTCGGTAACTAATGTTGTTGTAGCATAGGGGTTCTCCATTTTTTCGTAGCTGTCCTCATCCAAGTCATCTACACTGGCTTCGTTGTTGCCATATGTGTTCAACAAGCTGGGCAGTTCACCTTTGTCGGACAAGAGGAATGATGTGTTCAGTTTGGCAATATTTGTGTAGCGATCGACCTGATCGGGTATGGACAATCCATGGCCGCCGTTCGATTGGAAATTGTCATTTGCATAATTCTGCTCTATGGGCATGGGTACGCTCTGGTGAGTTGTTGTGGAATGGTGACCGTTGCTGCCCAAGGTGTAATCATCGCTGCTTGCAGCCCATCCATGACCACCATTGGATTCGAAATTATCGTTGTTATAATTCTGCTGAATGGGCATGGGTACACTCTGGTGAGTAGAGGAATAGTGATGGTCACCGGTATGGTAGACCGGTTTGACATCGTTGCTGGTCGCCATATTCGGATTATTTGCCATCTGTTTTATAACATCGGACATTAGGAAGGCGATCTCATCTTTGGTTTCATTCGAACTCATCATGTTGTAGTCCACGGCCATTGTATTAGTGCCGTCTACAAGGGTTGAAGCGACAGTAGCCGCTTGCGTTTGGAAATCTGACATACTGATTTGTGACGAGGGCTTGACAACCTCCAGGTTCAGGTGTGGCTTTAGATCTGCCACAAGAATTGGTTGATTTCCATCGGCTTTGTCGTCGTCCATCAAGTCATCGTTGTGCTTCGAAGGTTTGGCAACTGGAAGCCTGGTTTGTCCCATTGACGAAGATTCTTCCAAGGTTTCGTCCGAACTGGTCGTGGTCTCGCCATAGTTGAACTGCGGTTGCATTATGGCGATGTCTGTGGTAATTGTGTGGGCTTCCTGAATATCGACGCCATCATGTTGCGAATGAAGGAGAGTAGTCGTTTCCTCATCCATAGTGACTTCGGTAGTTTCAGTAGTTTCTTTTGTGTCATCATCGAAAAGCTTTTCAGAAATCTCTTGTGTCGTCACCTCAGTTGGAGCTTCAATATCTGTGCTAGTTTCCGTCATGCGTTGGTTGGATTCCGATTCAGTTGTATCCGAAATCACACCTGGATCCTCAGTCGGGTTTTTATTTTCAGCATTTGTCCGATCCTCTTCAGTGGTATAATGTATTGTGATGTCCTCATAACGGTTAGTCATTGTGACATCTGATTTATTGTCGGCTACATCCGCAATTGTAGTTTCCTCCGGCTCAATCATAGTTGATGCTGTCGATACATCAGTGTCCATTTCTTCTACCGATCCATCGGTTGCGGGTTCAGTGAATGTGTTGTCCAACTCTTCATTATTATTATTACTTCCATAATTGGATAGATTGGGTAGGCTGGCCATTGGTACCATATGTTTATTGGCCATTTCCTCTAATTGGTCCATATTTTCAGCACTGTCATACTTCACTGGTTTAATTGGGGCTTTTGTGGGTTCTGGTGTGGAATCTACCTTATGTGTCAATTGCGGCTGTTTGAGCGACTCTAGTATTTGATCGAATGACTGCATTGCGTGAATATCTTGGTCGTAAGGTTTCAATGTAACATGTTGCATTGTAGCCATGGATGGTTGAGGTTCCTTCTGTAACTGGTGATTGTTTGATTCCTCGACAGCATCGATGGTCAAAACATAAGATGGTATAGGATATCCCGATGTGCCGGAGCTTGTCGGTGTGGTGGGTGTTGTTGTGGACTGTTTAGTTACCTCGGCGAGCTTTGATGTAGATGTGACCATACCTGGTGGTTGATAGCCGGGGAATTCCTCAACAATCAGAGTTGGTTTTTGTGTCGTTGAAGTGGTTTCCTCGGGCACGGGTGCATATACGACTGTGGTGGTTGGAGGAAGCGTGGATGTGGAAGTGGTTGGTTTCGTCGTGGTAGTAGTTGTATGTTTTTGTGGCTTGGGTCGTGGCCTGTGATGAGACACTTGTTGGTATTTGTTGTGTGCGATCTCTTGGTGTGCGGTTCCTTCGGCGGCTAAGTCTCCTGTCGGGGGTGTACCATGTGGAGGCTTATGTCTGTGAGGATGAGGCTTGCGTAAATCATGCGATTCTGTGGATGCTGCTGTTGAAATAGGCTGACGAGTGGGCTTCTTCTTCTTCTTCTTCTTTGGAGCTGTAGTACTTGTCTGAGTAGGAGGTTCAACTTCAGGGACAGATGTTGTTGTAGTCGTGGGTTCCGCTTCGACAGGCGTTGTTGATGTCTCAGTTGTATATGGCAAGGGAGTTGTTGTTGTAGAAGTACTATCCGCGATGGTAGAATGGTGGATGGGTGTGTGAGTGGGTTTCTTTTTCTTCTTTTTAGGGACAACAGTAGTACTAGGCGAGGGAGCAGACGTTGTTGTTGATGTCGTTGTTATGGGCTCTTCTTCAACACCTGCTGTTGTTGTCTCCGTTGTAGATGGTAATTGTGCGGTGGTAGAAGTACCATCAGTACTGGTGGGGTGGGAATGGATGGGTTGGCGTGTGGGCTTGCGTTTCTTCTTTTTAGTAGCAGAAGTAGTACTGGGCGGAGAAGATGTAATGGGCACCGTTGTAGCTTGGACAGACTCAGTGGTAGTAGTTATGGTGGTGGTTGTTGTAGTTATAGGAGTTGGTTGTGTTGGAGACACTGTCTCAGCCATTGTTGTGGTTTCCGGAGAAATAGTTGTTGTTGTGGTAGGCTTCTTCTTAGTCTTTTGTTTAGTAGTCTGCGGACGTTTGGTTGTGGATTGACCGCCATTAGGCTTCTTAACCCTATGTGGTGGTGACGGTTTGCGTTGAATTTGTGGCGGTTTCTTGGCCAAATTTTCATCCAAAATCACCTCATCATCGGCTGGTCTCTGGACTACTTCCTGGTTGTTAATGAAAACACGCTTCGTTGTCGATTCAATCTGTAATTGTTCGGGCAATTTGTGATAAATGGGCTGCATGTGAATTTGTGAGAAATCTCCATAGTTTTGCATGGAAGCAGCCAAGTGTTGGTACTGCTGCATGCCTGTGTACACAGACTCGTGGGAATCCAGTTCCTCTTGGATGACCTGGGGAGTCATTTCCGTTGTCGTAGTTGTGCTTGTTTTACGTTTCTGACCCGGTCTACGTTTGCTGGGCTTAGGATGTGTAGTGGTTGTAGATACAGGCGCATCTGATGTAGTTTCCATAATTTCGCTATCTGGAGTCATAACTATTTGTTGAGGTTTTTGTTGTGGGAATATGTCTACACTGCCGGTATTGCCGAATATTGCCGGAAGAATCATGGACCATGAAGAGGAAACGTCTGGAGTATCCAAAGCTGGTAAAATATTGGAAGTGCTATTTTTGTTTGACTCCACTTCTTTGTTGAGGACATCTTGTACGCTGTTGACAATGTCTTGAACATTTTTCTCGGGATCTTTATCTTCTACCGGTCCGTGGTGGATAATAGCTGGCCCCTCACCGTCGCCATTTGCAACAATACTTTGAATTTCTTCCATAGTCATCAGACGTTTGACAAGTTCGCCGTTTTCATCGAACGTATAGAATTCATAGCGATCCGGGTTCAACAGATCAATTGGGCTGGCAACTTGCAGAGATGGTTGAGGCTTGGGTACCTTTTGGCCTAAGGCATCTGTGAATTCTGGTTGATCGCCGTTTAAAATAACCGCAACTGCTGCAGGACTACAAATGAAAAATGAGAAGTAAATAGGTGAAAATGTGACATAGAAAGGGTGATTTGTAACAACTTATAGGAAAATACGGGAAAGTAAATAAAAAGTACCTAGAAAATACTTCTAACGCATAATAAACTATATTTGGGTGCTGTTTATATGTATATGAGCAGCTATATTTCTATTGTATAGATATCGCGTCTTTCGTGCGCGATTAAAAAATTAACTAATTTAAAACATTTAAACAGAAATTTAAGAAATTAGCATCAATTTGTTAGTCAGTACCGTACATGGTTACCTAGTACTATTTAGTGTGATTGTTTTTGCCTGAACATAACTTGCAACTACTTCTTGTCAGGTCTTAGTACGTTGATTGATTTATGCTACATACGACATGAAAGCTACTCGCTTGAGCAGGATTGTATTTCAAATAATGAAGTGAAGCAATGCTGTGCTATCATATATGATGAACGCTTTAGATTTTTTTGCCGATTTTTTTTCATGAATTTCCATTTGAGATTTATAAAATGAAATGCAGGGAAAACAAAAATAAAAAAGCTCAAATGTCGTACAGGCTACAACGGCCGTGCACTTTCTCGACACCACAGTATGATGTGGTCTCGTCAAGTGGTCAGCGCGCAATGCAATTTTCCGTATATCTGCCATTGACATGACTTATGCCATTCCATCGGACTTCAAAAATGGAAATTTACATTTTAATGCTGACTCAATGCCGTGCACTTTTCTTTCTGTTCACATTTGCCGCTCTAAATATGTCAATGTATACATTCGCTATTTTTTGTTATGTAGGCCACGGATTGTCTTATTTCATACATATATGTATGTATATGGGAAATTACAAAAATCTTTTAAATTCCTTGAAGCTGAGGTTTGCAAGGTTATAACTCGCGAAATATGAACATATTGCATATAATTTAAATTCATTTCTATAAAATGAAGTGTTCTTGTCAAAATCTTAAAATATTGTTAATAAATAATAAGTTTGGTGGAAGCTGTGATGGTGGTAATGTAAAAAAATGGGTGAAAATGTGTTGAAGCCAACGAGTTTTTTGTGTTCGTTCCTGATTTGTGGCTAAACTACACAACGCAGGCACATGTGATCAGTGACTAAGTTGCAGAATACCCCATGGGCAATATGGTTCTAATATATGATTTTTCGATATAATCACTGCATACACCCAAAAAGGATGCTGACATTTTGAAGCCGGATTTTCGGTGATTTTTGAATTTTTCTTATAATTAGGATGCGCATCCAGATAATAGACTAAACTGTTTATAATATTGTAGAACTCGTGATTTTGCGTCGTTTGGTGTATATATCATTAATGTGCTCACCGTAGCTTCTTTGCAATTGGATTCCAAAGACGAAAATTTGGTGCGTAAATTTTTATAAAAAACCTATTTTTTGAGTCCTAATTTAAGATGGTCCATTCAAATTCCGTGGAACCCCGCGTGATTTTAGTTTTTTTACGTGCCGGATCTAATGATCGCGAATCTGTGTGAAAATAGGTAAAAAATATATCGATACGCGAATAATATGCATATTTTATCAAAACGATCCTTTTAAAATAGGTGTCCTTTTGTGTATTTTCATAGGAGATTACTGAAATCGGATGCGCATAAAAATCGTATGCACGTTTCGCCATTTTTAGTCATTATTAGGGTTTTTGCATAGTAAAGTGCATCGAGCGGCACACTTTGGCCGCTTAATGAAACCTCGAAAAATGCATAATTATTGGAAGAGATTGATTAGGTTTATAAGAAAACCGCATGCGCATCAACTGATTTCAACAAAAACGCGAATTGCATGCTTTTTTTATGAACTGTAAGTGCAATATATTTAGTCGCTTTTAACGACGAAACTCTTATTAGATGAATTTATCGATATTTAACAATCATCTAAAAGATTTTGCAGAAGAAAGCGTCGTATATTTTAGAAGATTAAGGCAAAACCGTATCCTCTTAACCATACTAAAAATCGAAAATTCAAAAAAAAAAAAAAAAAAATTGTTTTAATTCAAAAATTAATTTTTTTTATTTTCCGATATCTTCATGCTTCTATTTGTTTTTCGCGACTATTATTTGTGAAGAAATTCGCGAATTACAACGAATAGGAATTCATTTAATTTATATTTAAAATACCAGATTTAAAACCGCTATAACTTTTGTGCGCAGCATCCGAATTTGTGAACGCGAACAGATTTCGAATCAGCATATTTTTCTTAACCTATGTACCAAAAATCATAAATGTGCTCGCAAAAGAATTTTTCAATTTTTTTTTTAATGGAATTTTAAAAGAATTTTGTAATAGTGTTTTTGTTTTTTGTCATTTATGCAGCGTTTAACAATAGGGAAATAGGGGAATTTCCCTATTATTGAACTCACACTTTTAAATGACAAAAAATATCATTGTATTAAACTTGCCAAGGACATATAAAAGGAATATCATATAAATACTAAAATCATAAAATCACTTCAATTTCTCCATGCTCTACCAAAAAAGCTTCTATATTGAGAATATTTTTAATGGGTAATTACAGAAGGTAATTAAATCTGAGTCGATTGGTCAAATCGGACACACACACACACTAAATCATTTTAGTCTCGATGAGGTACGCTGTGAAATCGCACGATATTATATATGAATGCTATATCTAATATACACATTAATGCTATCTGCATTTGTTTAGAAAAGGACAGCGACTCAGAAAGTGATGCTATGCATATTCCCAGAAATATTTAGGGGTGTATCTTGTTTGCTTCGGCATGTTACAATGAATACATTACGTCGTCTAATAAAGAACGAACAACCTAACTCAACACTGCTGATAAAGACCAGTGTCGTATTTCAAGACCACAACACTCAATTAAAGGCCAAATTATCCCTTAATTAGGCAACCGAATTACTTACGTTCACTCATTCCGTAGTCAACGAATTAAGACATTTTGTAAATTTACATCACATCTATTGCAAATTAGCACTTTGCCCACAACATTCACCTGATACGACACAGAACGCTCGTGTCGTCACAGAAAACATTTAGTGGCTATTCTATTTCGACGGCATGCTAAACCACAAACATGGGTGCGGTGCAAGTGCACATCTGAACAGAACAGATTTGTGGCAGGGTGTTGTCGTGGATTTAGCTGTGTAGCCATGGCAATAATTGCAAGATAGCTATTTGCCATTGAATTGTTTGAATCCTCCATCGAAATATGCAACGGAATGTTTTAGTTTGGGGTGAGATGGTCACCTGTTTTTTCCTTTGTTTTCCATTAGACACTGAGTTCTTGGGTTTCTGGCAAAATCATTGATCTACAGTCGTGTAGAAAATAAATGACGGTAATTATTTTATCGGGAAAACGAGTGTGCAAAATACTTAGAACACATGCTCCAATTAAATCTTACTGAATGGGATTTTTTGTAAAATTGATTAGCAAAGCGTATGTTAGAATCCAGGTGCTACGATGATCTACTATTTTTGTTTGCAGCAAAAAGTATTGATAATTGTTTCCATAAATTTGAATGAAAAATATCCATAACAGTATAGCTGTACAAATGAATTAATAAATGTAAATAAGTAATATTTTGTTTGGACTTCAAAAGATTTTCATGAAGAAAAAAGTGTGATTGGGGGTCACACACGAATTTTAGGCAATGAGAAAGCCAATCTACTCGCCAAAAGTGCAACTGACCTAAACACTGTAGATGTGAACAACGCCAAACATTTTAGCGGAACACGTCTAGAGTGAGGTCATTTGGAACAGGGAAAAGACTTAAAAGGGCACAAACATATTAGAATATCTAAATCCATACTTTATAGGGTATAAACTGACAACTTCGGTTACAGAATATCCCCCATGTTATGGTGGAATGCGGCTATGCGGAGACAACCCCAAAACGCGGACTATATAAGGACTACACCCATAAGGGGGCGAATATAAATAATTTTTGGAAGGGAGATTTGTTACCAAATACGACTACAAAACACCAAATTATAGCGAATTTGTTTGAAAAACACACTCAAAAACCTCAAAATTGAGCTACTGGAAAAAATTGACCTATATTTATAATATTTATTAGAGAGATTTGGTACCCAATAAGAACCCAATTTCATTTAAATTTCAACGAATTCGGCTGAAAAACGCCCTTAAGAAACCCAATATACCGAAAATTGGGGGTACCCTTATATGGCAAAACGTGGCATATGCCTGCCTGCAGACAAAAGACAACCCTATGCTAAATTTCAGCACCCCATCTCTAATCCTATTCGACCTATGAGTGTACGAAAAATACTAAATGTAGTTCTAATTGTATATATATATATATATATTGAGCTAGAATCTTGAAATTTATTTGGAATACAGGTTGGGAAGTGGTGTTGATGTATGGAAATGATTTTAGAAGTTCGTACTTATGTGTATGAAAAGTACTAAATTTAGTACTATTAGCATTTGGTTAGGCGTATAGAGATGGAATCCTGAAAATAGGAATTATGATTACTACTGGAGTACAGGATTGAGGTAGTTTTAAAAAATCGTACTTATGTGTACGAAAAGACCTAATTGGTACAAGTTGGATTTAGGTGAACAGCTGGAGTGTTGAAATTGGGAATTAAAATGATTGTTGGAGTGTAGGATTGAGGTAGTTTTGTAAATTCATAGTTATGGGTACGAAAAGTACTAAATGGTACTACATTTTGTACAATTTGAATTTTGGACGAACGGAGAGAGTTGGAAACCTAAAATATGGAATAATGATTGCTGTTGGAGTGTGCTGTTAATATATTAATTATTAAAGTATAGTACTTATGTGTACTAAATGGCACTATATTTGGTACAACTTGATTATGTGTGAACGAATAGAGCTGGGCTCCAGAATTTTGGAATTAAAATTACTGTTGGGTACGAAAAGTACAAAATTTGGACTTTGGTGAACGGATAGAACTACAATTCTGAAAGTTGCAACTAAGATTTGTGTCGGAGATTACATACGGTGTAACGGGCAATTCGCTACTGCTCTAATATAAAGGCATGTCACAGACATGATCGAAATTCCGTCTTTAGCTTCTTCAGAAAACGAAAACGAAAAAAATTGATTTTGAGGTACTTATGTCTTTTTTGCAACAGTCCAGTCCAACGTGGGTTCAGTGACTGATATTGACCGTGCCATGTAATATCATTTTATCTTCACATTGTTGAATAGGCCCAATTGCAAATAGTTTGAAGACTTTTGTCACATTTCTTTCATTTCGGGTTCTTAGTAGATAGAAAATGTTTTTTTTAACATGTTCTTCCTAAATCTTAATCGTAAGCGTAGGTGTTGATTTATTTTAATGGAATTTTAAATTTATATAAACACAAAATAAAAAGTCATTTTCTCATTGATTGCCAACTTTGTTAATTCACCTTCTGTTGTGAATTTGGACTTCATTTCAATAATATTAACTTGGTTTATAGCTATTACTTGTGGCAGTGATTATTTTGTACCTTCCCTATTGTATGCATACAGAATAAGCGAATATCTGAGTTCATCAATCTGATGAATGTTAGCGACATTAGTCAAAATCCAAAGGTGAACAGACCGTTAAAAGAGGACATAAATGCAGGGAGTAACGACTTCTGAAACATAAAATCCAACAATAAATGAATGTTAATTGCTCCAATGTTAAATCTTACGCTTCTAAACAGAGACAGAGAAATGATGAGCTGGCCTTTGTTTCAAAATCAATTTAATTAAAAGGTTTGACTATGGTAGACATACGGCATAAAGGAAAAGGATCGTGTTTTTCGTCGATGGGAGGGGCAGGTGATTACAATTTAATGTTAATTATTCAAGGCGAAAAAGTGCCATCGGTGTGGAAAGCAGAGTAAGGGGTGGGGGAGGAAAACACTTTCCCAAATTATATTTTGGTACAAGTATCTGTACTCGTTGTCGCTGCAGTAACACATCGGAAGTGGCCTGTACTCACCTGGAACCGACATTGTGTTTCTTTGACAAGTCGCCATACTGCTCGACATTGTCATTAGGATTCATATCTTGGTATGAGCTCGTGCCATAGCTGCCATAGCCGCTTGTTTGATATGATGACGTTGATGGTGGATGGTGAACCGATGATGCTGCCACCGTGGAGCTGGCGAGCTTAACGGCATTGACCACCTTGTTGGCTTCCGGTTCAATGTGGGCCGGCACTTGGGCGCTGTAAACGAAGGCAGGTTGAAGAGAAGGTGGTTTGTTTGCTGTCGTTGTTGCGGATATTGCAGCTGGTCTTGTCGCGCCTGTTGTTGAGGTTGTTGTTTTCTTCGAAACAGCGGTGAGTGCGGCAGAGGCCTTGTTGTGTTCTTGATAATGTTGTTGCATCAGTTGAGCGTAACCGTGATGGAACTGTGGCATCATATAACCACCGCCACCACCGCCTCCGTCATAGTCGCCATCCCCATTGGCATTGATCACAGGTGGTTCATCCGAGTAATTGGGAGGGTAGGCATAGACACTGGCACACACCACCCCGCTTGCTAGCACAAGGACAGCAAGAGCGCAAAAACCCATTGCTGCTCCTGTGGACGTCAATGTTGTCAGCAGCTAACTTATAACCCTTTTCGCTGGCTTACGAATTCTCTTCTCGGCTAACCTTTTCTTTCTCGCTGCGAACTTTTGCACCGAAAGTAATTTCCTATTGTCTTGTATTTGCTTTCCAACTCGTTGGGAAAATTCGACAAGAAAAAAACAATTTCAGCAATTGTTGCCTCAAGACGAGCTTTAGTTTCTTCGAAATTGTTATTTGCTTTGTTCCGTCTTTATGTTACGTTTCGTTTTTTTGTTTGGTTGTTTTGAGTTTTGTTCTTTCCCCTTTGTGGTGGGCTCTTATCGGGTTTTGTCTGAAGCGTTTGTTGTATTCTTTTGTTGGCTTTTATTTTACAGGCGTAGTGGGGTCGAGTATCCTTTTTGTCTTATAGCTGCTTATAAAGGTCTCGTCTGCAATCTGGAAAAAAAGAAAAAGAAGCGAGCACTTCTATAATTAATGCGTTCGTTTGCCCATTTAATATTAAAAATCATGAAAAAAACAACAACAATGAAAAACAATGCGCGAATCACCTCAAAAGAATTGCTTCCCGATCCTGTTAGGGAAAGGTCACAATATCTCAGCATATTTAATGCTGTCTTTTGTTATTGAAAATACAGCTGTCCTATTTTTTAGTTCCCAAATGGCCCGGTGATTGACGTCTGGCGACTCCTTACGCCATGAAGCATGAATACAAAAGCACAACTTTTTTGTTAATGTATAGGTATGTATTTTGTATTTGTATTGTTGTCGCAGGACTGAGTGGTGGAGTACTTTAATGAAATATTGTTTACCTACAAATCGGCCACAAAGAAGCTTACATTAAAATTAAATAGATTTTTTTTTAATTTGATAATTTTTTTTGTATTTGCCCTGCGTCAGAAAACTAAGCAATGTCGTTCAAAAGTAATTGAAATATATTGACAGACTAACGAAAAAATACTTCTCTGGATTAAGGGATTAAGATGATTTGAACTGAGTTATTTGGAATTTTGGTGGGAAATATGAAAAATAATAAATACAACATTTAGCTAAGTTTGGCCGAACCGAACAGTTTCAATCCTCCGAATTGTAATCAATAATATGACAACAATTGAAAACAAGTCGTTTAGTTCGGCCCGGCCGAACTTTTTATACCCTCCATCAGGAGGTGTACCATAAAATACCTGTAATCGTTCAGAGCTTTAAGGATGTGGCGGGTTATACCATGAAAGACATTTGGTAGATTGAACATCCAATGAGAACCAAATATTCGTTAAAAACGGTCCAAAATACGGAATAGTGGGCAGAAATACTTTATGTGGCAATATTAATAATATTTGGTACGATGTTCGTTTTAGAAACGAGCCCGAATTTCCCATAAAAAATAGAGACTATCTTAAAAAATGGACCAGTGTAAATAATATTTTGTGGGAAATTACAGCCAATTCGGTTTATTAACTTGGAAAAACACCGAATAATTTATGGTAATGTAAACTGTTGACCAATATAGATAAGTTTTATTAAAAAGGTGTGTCACCCAATGAAAGCTCAACATAGCAAATTATAGCCAATTTTATTGAAAAAACGTGACCAAAGTCGCCAAAGTACGGAATAATGCCGAGTACGTTATATGGGGGCTATCCTAGATAGTGGACCCATATCGATCACTTTTGGTAGGGAGATTAACTACCCAATGGGAGCTCAATGTACCAAAATACATGGAGGCTATTCCAAAACCTTGACCGATATGTTCCATTTTCAATACCAAACATCCTAGGAATAATAGTAATGTATGTGCAAAATTTTAAAGCTCTATCTTAAATATTGTTATAGATATTTCAATAGATGGACATGCATAAATCGACATAGCATTCTATTTTGAATATTTCGGAATGACAAATTTAATATACTCCCCACCGTATGATGCAGGTTATAAAAATGTTGAGGGTATAAATAGGTTGAGTTCATCTATTTAATTGATAGATCAAAGTGCCTGGATCCAGTGATTGTGATATTCAACATGGTGCATCGGGACTGAATTTTACGTAAATTTGAATTTCATATGTGTATTCATGTATCGCTTGGTGTTTCAAACATAACGATGAAACGAATATGCTGTCCATTATATTGGTAGGGGGTATAAAAAGAATTACTTTTTATGTTGTTTGTTCTCCTTATGAAATATTTGTCTGTAATTGATAAGACAAAGTTGTTATTATTAAATTATGTTATTATATCTTATATGTATCTATGGATGTGCTATTTAGACGTTTATTTTAAAATTGCGTACACACCGATGCCTATATTACGGTTTTGAAATTGTGATTGTCGTAAGCTGACTGGAAAAAGGGAATGGTAACTCCATTCTTGTTAGGCAACCTCTTGAAATAAACGATACAATGTCTATAAAATTCACGAGTCAAAAATCGTCAAAAAGGGAAGACATTTATTAAGTGATGTTTTTGACGACGTTTCCAACTCACTAACACTAACAGCAAAATATCAAATAATCGGTGTGTACAGACAACTGTATGAATCGTTTTGATTACAAGGAACAGACATACGCGTCTTTATATACTTTACATAGTCGGAAATAGCTATGCGATGAGATACAAATGGAAAAGCCAACTCAATACACCCTCCATACTATGGCGGAGGACATACAAAAATGCCGACTAATAAATACCTGATTGTTGAACTTGAACTATTTCATATTGCATCATTTTATGATGAAGTCAATGGTTATATTACATACCTTTCCTTAAACCATGCCAAGAATATATCCTAATATGATTTGCATGATATTGCCACTGGAACAATATCTCTCTCTCTCTCTCTAAATTGTGTCTTACCGAGTAGCTGTCGATTAAATGAATCAATGAATAGTAAATGTATATTTTATCCTTTTAACAGTTCATTGCTTACTTTATAATGAGACATTTGCTGGTTGGGGGGGTTTTATGAAAGGAAACTCAATTTACTATATATGTATGTATGTATGTATGTTATAAGCGCATCCCGCACAAGATGTGGCATTTGACTACATCAGACAATTTCGAGAATGGTGCATCCGCTCTATCTTGTTTATTCATCTACTTGACGGTCGAATGCTGCGCACCTTAATGCGCTAGTAATTATGCTAATAGGCTATAACACACACACATACGTACACACATTTTCACCCGACACAAATGCATATTGAGGTAGGTGGATACTTCTAAGTATGTGTTGTGGTCCATAAGACGTGAATAACATACTTTGCCGGTTGTCACACATTACCACTACAAAATGTTAAGATCACTTTCATAAATGCATTGTGTGTTCTCGGCTGGCAAGGAATTTTACTAAATGTAGTAAGTCGTCTTCTATTCATAGCTACATGTAGACGATGCATGTTCCATACGGCATTTGAACAAATGTGTATTCAACGGGGTTCTAATAAGAATATGACAAACTTTTTTTGCACAAATTCAGGCCAAAAATAACTTGACGATTGGCATCTTCGACGAAGATGTATGGTCTAATGATCCTGCCGGAATAAAATCTAGATTCATAAAGCTCATGTGGATGTTCACCTGCCTTATTGACGAAGTCAAGATGATGATGATTTTACGACGAAGTCATCATCTTGGCCTGGGCTCGGTTTCAAAAAATTGAATTTTGGATTTCTATTTAATTCGAACCTACGAACTTATTAAGAATCTACCTTTAAAATTTCAAGTGAAAATCTCAACAACTCTTGAAGATATATGCGATTTGTTGTGTCAGCATCAAGCCATGGCAGAAGTGATTCTCAAACGCTTCGTACACGCATTTTTCTCGAAACAGTGTTATTACAAATGGTGGACACGAACTCAAAAGCTAATTATCCAATCGGCCAAGATTTCCTTATATTCTAACTAGATTTGTGGTTGAAAATATGGAATTTTTCAAAAATTAAATTTTATATTTCCGGCATTTTGTTAACCGGACATGTGCTCTTGGAATGCCGTTGAGTTTTAATTTTTTTAATAAATGGAATAGGAATTCAGATTCATTTAAATTCATAGTTTAGCCTAAGCAATTAAAAAATAAATAATATACACAAGCATAACCTTTGGAGTTCTATACCTGTAGATAACTGGTCTGTTCCCGTACTGCAAGAATCTACTAGTTTTTACTATTTTGTTCGATATCATAAAGGGAAAAGTGTTATCGTAGTAAAAAGTAGTAGATTCTTGCAGTACGGGAACAGACCAAACATAAAATTAAAGCAACCAAAATTTAAAATATAATAAAAGACCTGTACATTTTTTTAAAAATAAACTCATAGTAAAAGTTTTGCAGAAATGAATGAGAAATTTATTCACTTTTATGAAAACAAAAAATATAAACACAAACACTTTTGGAAAATTAAAAAATATTCAATAGAAATCCAAATTGATCCAATTTTTGATTGGTAAATTTTAAAACAACGTTTTGATCCTGAACCTTTGTAAGTTTCTGAATCTCTTTTGATTTTTCTAAAGGCTAAAGATCTTATGATTGTGCTGTATATTATAAAATCCTGATTTCTGACTCCCGCAACCAACCTTTGACATGTTTCGATGTAAGTTTGAGTTTATTGTTATGCTGAAACACCCAAACAAACGGTATATTTTCTTCAGTGAAGGGAAACAGCGTTTTCCATCACATACAAATGTCCCATTACATCCTAAAGCTCGTAAATAGATCAAACCACATAAAAAGAAAAAAGGTCCAATGACATTATTGATCCTAATTTTGACTTTCCGACTTTTTCAGAAATAAAAGGGCTTTCTTGATGGTTTCTGGACATGTCGACCTGCTACCATTGCTCATCCACGCTCTGTTCTTGAGGATGTATCCAACGATAATCCTCTCACCAATTTCGTTAACTCTAAAATGGGTATTTTGTTTACTGCTGTGACAATTTATTGATCAGCACAAACCGGTGTTTTGTTTATAATTACATAAAGCCAATTTATAAATCGGCAAATCACGGACTTATTTATGGTATATTTCTCAGAAATAATATTCTATCAAAATTTGTTTTCACAATCACTGGTAATTAGTTGTTTTATCGGAGTACTGAATTTGTTTCTAGCCATTTATATATTTTTATACCCTACACAACTATGTTGTCAGGGTATTATAGCTTTGTGCTGCCCAAAGAGTTTGTAACGCCGCGAAATATTGGTCCTAGACCCACCTTTAAGTATACCGATCTTCATATCTCGACTAGCTTAGTCGATCTAGACATGTGTGTCCGCCCGTCTGTTCACTATAATTTGTAAACACGATACAGGCCACAGTTATGGACCAATCTTCACGAAGTTTTTCATGTAGTATGGGTTCTGGCTAATGAAGACCCCTATTGTTTTTGGTAAAGATCGGTTAATATCGGTTAGAGGATGAAATGGACCAAATACTAAAATTTTCTCGGTTTTTCTGGTCGTTCC